AAAGGAATCATCAAGCCAGGGTCATTTTTATAGGGTAACGTTTCTGCTTGAGAGATGGGGGTGGGGTGAGAAAGCTCTCCTGATGGGGTACGATCATGTTGCAACCTTTTCCTCTCCATTTCTCCTTCCTTTTGGGATTTTGGCAGTGCACACACATGTACCTGGTGGATGTCTCAAGCACCCAGTTCCAGGTCTCTATCCTCACAATCAGCCATGTGGCATCTAGTTCCCTTAATCACCAAGCTGCAGGGTGGCCCTCTTTTTTAAAAAAGAAAAGAAATAGAGGTTCTTGGGTCAGCAGGTGGCCTGGAAGTTAAGGCAACTAGAGCCCCCAGGCCAACTTGTGTGATTCAAATCCTGGACCCAGCAGCTTTAAAAACACACTGGGTGCTTGTACGTGCATGCCTAAAATCCAAGAGGAGAATGGAGAAGGAATTGCAGCGTGGTCATTCCCCTGGGGGCAGTGTTTTCTTATTTTTTTCCTCTTTCTCTCTCTCTCTGGAAAGTGCATGCGCTCTATAGCAAACTAAAAATAGATAGCTAGATAGAGTTTGTTTTAGTTGCAAATAATAGAAACTTATTTAAATTCACTTAGGAAAGAAAATAATGAAAATTATATTACAAGAATATGAGAATGTCAGTTTATCATGGTTTGCCATTGATATTTGCTCACAGTTGGGAAGTACGTCCAAGCCTTAGAAAAGTCTGTAATCAGCAGTTAGCATAATGGCTATGTCGCTGGACTCCCATGTAGCCAACTGCGGTTTGAGTCCTGGATCCAGTGGCTTAAACTCATGCCAGGCGCATGTGCGTGCGTGCCCAAGATCCCTAGAGGAGAAGGGATTGCGGCATGGCCATCCCTCCTGGGGGTGATTTCTCGCTTCCTGTCTCTCTGTCTCTTTCTGTCTGTCTGGTGAGCGCACGTTCCCTATAGCAAAAACCTCTCCAAAAAAAAGAAGAAAAGTCTGTAACTAGAAACTACAGAGTACTCAAATTAGGAAATTTCTGTTTTCATTTTGTCATTTCTATATAGACTCATATATCTTTCTTTTTTTTTTTTTTCGAAGAGGTTTTTGCTATAGGGCGCGTGCGCTTGCCAGACACACAGAGACAGAGAGAGAAAAAGCGAGAAATCACCCCCCAGGGGGGATGGCCACACCGCAATCCCTTCTCCTCCATTCTCCTCTCAGGATCTTGGGCACACATGCACACGTGTCCGGCATGAGTTTAAGCCACTGGATCCAGGACTCAAACCACGCTCAGCTACGTGGGAGTCCAACAACATAGCCATTATGCTAACTGCTGGTCCCAAGACTCATATATCTTTCTCTCTGTGTACTTCTGCTATTTGCTTTGTTACTTTAGATGAGGTTTAATACATCTATTTTCCTGCCTGGAAAAGATGATGTTAGTTTCCTGTGTTGTTTTAACAAATTACCACAAACTGGGACCAGCAGTTAGCGTAATGGCTATGTCGCTGGACTCCCATGTATTCGACTGCTGTTCAAGTCCCGGACCCGGCAGCTTAAACTCATGCCGGACACGTGTGCATGTGTGCCCAAGATCCTGAGAGGAGAATGGAGGAGAAGGGATTGAGGCATGGCCATCCCCCCTCGGGGGGTGATTTCTCACTTTCTTGTCTCTCTTTCTCTCTCTGTCTTTCTGGCAAGCACACACGCCCTATAGAAAAATCTCTCCCCCCCAAAAAAAATTACCACAAACTGAGTGCCTTAAAGCAGTACAAGTTTATTTTCTCACAGTTTTGGAAGCCAGAAGTATACAAAGTCAGTATCACTAGGCTGAAGGGAAGGTGTTTGCAGAATCATACTCTCTTCAGAAACTCTAGGGCAAGGCTCTCCCTGTAGCCTAGTGGTTAAAGCACTAGGATCCCATGTTGTCGACTGTGGTTCAGATCTCAGCCCCAGTACCTTAAAAAGCACAAGGCTATATGTTCGTACGTGCCCCTAGTCCCAGTATGATGGAGAAATGGAGGAGAAGACATTGTGGTGTGACTAAGCCCCATTTGGGGTGATCTCTCTCTCTCTGCTTCTCTTTGGCAAGTGCATGTACCCTATGGCAATTTAAAAAGAGAAATTCAAGGAGAATCCATCCCTTCCTTTTTCCTACTTTTGTTGGTTGCCAGCCTTCCTTGACTTGTGCCACATCACATTCTTTTCTCCGTGCATGTGTATCTTTTGCTCTTTTGTCTTTATCAAACCTCCCTCTGCCTCTCATGTAAAAATACTTGTGACTGGGGCCAGCAGGTGACGTAGTGGTTTAGGTGCTGGACTCCCAAATGGCTGACTACTGAGTTCTGGACCCAGAGGCTTGAAATTCACACCAGATGCAAGTTGGTGTGTGCCCAAAATCCCAAGAGGAGAATGGAGGAGAGGGGATTGTGGCTTGGTCATTCCACAGCCCCCCCCAGGGGGGGTGATTTCTCACTTTCTTTGTCTCCAGTGAGTGCATATGCCCTATAGCAAAAAAAACTCTTAAAAAACAAGCAAACAAACAAAAATCACATTTAGACCCTACCCATATAATCTAGAATAATCTCCCCAACTCAGGATCCTTAATTTAATCATACCTGCAAGAACCCTTTTTCCTAATAATGCAGCATGTACAAGTTCTAGAAAATAGGACTTGATATGTCTATGTGTGGTCATTATTCAGTGTACTATAGATGGCAATCATAAAGACATCTCTAAGTTAGCATGTAGTAAGGGCTCCATAAATGCAAGCCTCCTTCCTTCTTTTTTTTTTTTTTTTTTTGAGAGATTTTCACTGTAGGGCGCGTGCGCTCGCCAGACAGACAGAGGGAGACATAGAGACAGAAAGCAAGAAATCGCCCCCCAGGGGGGATGGTCACGCCGCAATCCCTTCTCCTCCATTCTCCTCTCGGGATCTTGGGCACGCACGCACACGCGCCCGGCGTGAGTTTTAAGCCACCGGGTCCGGGACACGAACCGCGGTCGACTACGTGGGAGTCCAGCGACATAGCCATTACGCTAACTGCTGGTTCCCAAGCCTCCTTCCTTCTCATCATCTCTTCTGTATACATCATCATGGCCCTCCTTTAATATTACCTTCAGATGCTTTTCTTTTCAGGAATGTCATCATCACATTAAGTATGGACCAGCTAAAATAACAACAGTGATGAAAATAATAGCTAACATTTTTTAGAATCTATTGTAGCCCAAGCACTGTAATGAATACTTTATCCAGTGGATTAAAGGTACCATTATAATCTTTATTTTGCAGATGAGAGAAATTAGACTCAGAGAGATAAAGTAACGTAATTTGCCCAGGTTCATTCAGCTGGTATCAGAGCTAAGATCTCTCTAATTCTTTTTTTTTTTTTTAGAGGTTTTTGCTATAGAGCATGTATGCTCACCAGAAAGACAGAGAGAGACAGAGAGATAGGAAGTGAGAAATCACCCCCGGGGGGATGGCCACGCCACAATCCCTTCTCCTCCATTCTCCTCTCAGGATCTTGGGCACGCACGCACACGCGCCCGGCGTGAGTTTAAGCCACCTGGTCCGGGACTCGAACTGCGGTCGACTACATGGAAGTTCAGTGACATAGCCATTACGCTAACTGCTGGTCCCAAATCTCTCTAATTCTAAGGACTGTAATTCAAAATATAATGTTGTTCTTGCCTCTTACTTATGAGTAAGGTTCAAATCTCTGGTTTCCTGCCTTAGCTTCTGATCAGATCCTTCCCTGGAGGTTTCTTGCACCTCCTGGCAGGGTCTCATATCACAGTTACCTAGGTTTTTTTTTGTCATATATCTGTTCTTTGGCAGTTGCTTGGTCCCAAATACATGCAGTTTGAAAGAAAAGGAAGTACAGAGCTGTCATCTAGCTTAAATTCCCTCAACTAACTTGTTTGTTGCTAGTCAATGTTTTTCTTTCCTAAGGGGATTATACTAATTTAATACATGTGCATCTATTCTGTAGTGCCTGGACACAGAATAGATGTCCTGCTGGAGTGTAAACCTCACTGGGGACTTTTGCTCTCTGCTGTATTAGAGTAATGCCTAGAATAAAATAGTTGTTTAGTAAAAATAAGTTGAGTGGCTAGCTGGCTTCGTTGGGCAAGGTGAAAACTTCTTCATTTGTTAAATAATTATACCTGTCACTTATTGAATGTATAGCATGTGCTAGGCACTTGCAAATATTGCCAGTATTCTTACGGCCTTCCTAAAGGGTAGAATCCATGGGCTTGGATGAGGAATGCATGGTATAGAAAGAAGTCAGAGAGATTTCCTGGGCCAGCAAGTGCCATGATGGTTAGGGTACTGGATCCCACATGGCCAGCTCTGCAGTTTAAGTCTCAGACCTGGCAGCATAAAAAACAAGCTGGGAAGCCAACAGGTAGTGTGGTGGTTAAAGACACTGGATTCCCACATGGCTGACTGCGGTTTGAGTCTCGGACGTGGCAACTTGCTTTCTCATTTTCTGTGTGTGTGTGTCTCTCTCATTCTCTGGTCAAATTAAAATAATAATATTAAAAAATAAAGTTAAAGTTAAAAAGTATTGACTCTAAAAAAAAAAGGAGAAAAAAAAATTCTAGGCTTGTGTCTACGAATACCCAAAATCCTGAGAGAAGAGTGGAAGAGAAGGGATTGTGGTATGGCCATCCCCCCGGGGAGTGATTTCTCACTTTCCCTCTTTGTCTGACTGCCTGTCTCTCTCTCTCTCTCATATTAGTCCATAAACCTTATGGGGAAAAAAAGACATTTCTTAGTCATCTGACTTGGATACTAGTCTAAGTGATGATGAAATGCAAGGGAGAAGTATGAGCTCTTTTTTCAGATAGGTTATGTTTACAGTACGTTCAGGTAGATACAGGGATCTATTCCTAGGACCAGTTCCCCTATTTCCCCATTAGCTTTGAGATGGTAGTCTTTTTTAACCATGCAGAGCAGAGTTACTTATTTTAGGAACTACAGACTTAACCATTATTTCTACTATGTTCTAACTTGAACATATTCAGTTTCTGTTTCAGATGATCGGGCTGAACAACGAACCTGTCTCATTTGTGGGGACCGCGCTACAGGCTTGCACTATGGGATCATCTCCTGTGAGGGCTGCAAAGGGTTTTTCAAGCGGAGCATTTGCAACAAACGGGTATATCGATGCAGTCGTGACAAGAACTGTGTCATGTCTCGAAAGCAGAGAAACAGGTGCCAGTACTGCCGCCTGCTCAAATGCCTCCAGATGGGGATGAACCGGAAGGGTGAGTGGTGTTCATGGCTCTCACTGCCCACCCTTCGCCCATCACTTTACCTTTAGTGTCAGCTATTTACTTTTTAGTTATTCACTTCCCAAGTCTGCATTACATGCAAGGCGTTATATTGTATACTTAAAATCCCAGAATGAATCTGATCAAGGTCCAGCCTTCAGAAACCTCCTTGACTAGGTAGGGAGAAAGATTGGTGATATAGTAATAATTCTGAGGGAACGAACACAGGTCCTGTGTGGCAAGACCCCAGTTATCAAGTAGGTTCTAACTGAGATTAATATACACTACTAGTTACTTCTACAGATGATAACAGGAATAGCAATTTTAGATGGAAAGCCATGAGGCAGGAGGTCCTCTAAATGTTGTATCATTTTGTTTGCCAGAACCATGGTATACTCCGAGACTAGGTATGCTCAGAAGTCTGTTCAGCTTGGTAAGGAGTCTGGGATTTATTGGAAGGTTTTTGAGGACCACTGGTCTGAATAAACTGATCATCTATTAAGATTAATATGAAGGGCACCTTTGAATGATGGATTGGGGTGGAAGAAGCAGAAAAGCCCCCTAGGAAGTTTTTAGAAGACTTCAGAAGAAAGATGTGAAGGATCTGAAAGAGGGAGGGAAAAGAATAGCACAAATGGGAGATGTTGTGGAAGAAGCTCACTCAGTAGGAGTTGGTGACATACTTAGTAGTGAGGAACACTGTAAGTTGAAGCTGAGGATTTGTATTAAGAGCTCCGTGGGCTAGCTCCATAGCCTAAGAATAACTGCTGCTCAAAAGGAGTTGGATACCACAGGTGACTGCAGTTTGAATCCCTAACCCAGACAGCCTGAAACATGCTGGACCTGTGCATAGGTGCCCAAGAGCCAATGGGCTAAAGGATGGAGAAAGTGGATCACAGCATGACCAGACCCTGTAGATAGTGCTTTCCCTCTCTCTCTTGAGCTCATGAGTAAAGAAAATAATCTAAATTTAAACACACACAGTAATGACTCTGCCAGGCAAAAAAGTCAGGCTAAAAAGCATAGTGGGGCAAAATGCTGGCCTTGCCAATGCTGAGTTTGAGATACCTGAGAAGGATACAAAGAGCTTTCCACTCAGGAAGTTGTGTATATAGGATTGGATCTGAGGTGAAAAGTTCTGCCTGCAAATAGAGGTTGGTAGAGCTATTAGCATAGAGGTAACAGTTAAAGTCTTGTCAGAGGGGGGAAATTACCTAGAGAAGGAGCTTTGGTGCAGAGTGGGGAAGAGCCAATGGCAAAACCCAAGGCATATTCCCATGGAGGGTGAGGAGTAGAGTAGGGCAGTGTTATTCAATAGAAGAAATAGAGGCTTTTGAGGCAGACAGACTAGTTCTGTGGCCTTAGGCAGTGGGCTTAATGTCTCTTATGATCAATTCTCTTACCTTTAAAATGGTATGATAATACTGACCTTTCAGAGTTTTCTAGAGGATCAAATATGAAAATGTATATAAAATACCCAACGAGATATTAGGGGTTCATAGTAGTAACAGCATGCAGAGGTATGAGCTTAGTCAAAATGAAAATATCAAGATGTTCAGTCAGGTTTTTGTTTGGTTGGCTCTTGTTTGTTTTTAAATAATTATTTTATTTAACTTTATTTCATTCTTCCTTTCTTCCTTTTTTCTTTTCTTTCCTTCCTTCCCTTCCTTTCCTTCCTTCCCTTTCTTCCTCTCCTTCCCTTCCTCCCTTCCCTCCCTTCCCTCCCTCCCTCCCTCTCTCTCTCTCTGTATGTATGTGTGTGTATATGTATGTATGTATATATATATATATATGTGTGTGTGTGTGTGTGTGTGTGTATATATTTGACCAAAGAGGGACAGAGTGAGAATGAGAGAGAGAAAGCAAGAAAGCAGGCCGCCAGGTTTGGGACTCGAACCATGGTCGGCCATGTGGGAGTCTAGCATCCGTGACTACCACACCAACTGCCGGCCCCTGTTTGTTTTTAAGGTTTTGGCCATAGAGCATATACACTCACCAAAGTGACAGTGAGAGGGAAAGCGAGACATGACACCCTGGAGGGGTGATCATGCCACAATCCCTTCTCCTTCTGAGATTTTGGGCATGCACATGCTCGGTGTGATTTTTCAGACTACCTGTTCCAAGACTCAAATTGCAGTTGGCCATATTGGAGTCCAGCGCCTTAAACACTATGCCACCTGCTGGCCCCTTTTGTTTTAAATTTTACCATAGGGTACATGGGCTTACTGGAGAGGAAGAGAGAGAAGGAAAGTAAGAATACAACTCTATTTCTCCCTCCTTTCAGGACTTTGGTCACACATGCATACCTGCACAATGTGTTTTTCAAGCTGCAGAGTCTGGGATTCACTCCACACAATCAGCCATGTAGGATCCAGCTACCTTAACCACCATGCCACTGACTGGGCCCAGATTGGTTTTATTGTGTGTGGAATAAGAAGGATCTTTGGGGCCATCTGGTGGCGTGGTGGTTAAGGCACTAGATCCCACATGGCTGGCTGCATGGTTCCAGTCCCAGACCTGGCAGCTTGAAAAGCATGCTGGGCATGTGTGCATGCATACTCAAACCCCAAGAGGAGAATGGAAGAGAAGGGATTGCGGCATGGTCCTCCCCTCTCGGGAGCAATTTCTCACTTTCCTTCTCTGCCCGTCTGTCTGTCTCTGGCAAATATATATGCCCTATGGCAAAAATTTAAAAAAAAAAAAAAAGTATCTTTTAAAAACTTGTCCATGGGACCAGCTGATGGTGTAATTGTTACATTGCTGGACTCCCACATGGCCAACTGTGGTTTGAGTCCTGGACCTGGTGGCTTGAAATTCACACCGAGCACATGTGTGTGCGTGCGCAAAATCCTGAGAGGAGAAAGGATTGCGGCTTGGCCATCCTCCCTGAGGGGTGATTTCTTGCTTCCTGTGTCTCTGGTGAGCCCATACACCCTATAGCAAAAATCTCCCCTAAAAAAATATATTAATTGGGGCTGGCAGGTGGCATGGTGGTTAAGGACAGCTGGACTCCCAAAGGGCCAACTGCAGTTCAAGTCCCAGACCTGGTGGCTTGCTTTCTCACTTTATCTCTCTCTCTCTCACTGTGTTCCTCTCTGGTCAAATTGAAATTAATTAATTAATTGATTAATTAAGATATTATTTAAAAATTAGTTAATTAAAAACTTGCCCATTATGAAAAATGTGAAACAGCATTTAGATAAATTTAGTTTATAATTTATAATAAACATTTATTGAGCACTTACATTTATTAGAAACTCTTATGTATTTTCCATGCATTATACTGCTGAATACACACAGCAACCCTATTATTAACTGTTATATACAGTTCACAAATGTGGTTTAGGGAGGTAAAATGACTCAACAGTAGTTAGTTTAGGGGTGACTATGTTAACAATGAATAGTTATTAAACTAGGAGCCAGCGGTGGTATGGTGGTTAAGGGCACTTGACTCCCACAACCCAACCACAGTTTGAATCCCAAACCTGGCAGCTTGCTTTTTCACTTTCTCTTTCTCTCTCTCTGCTTCTCTCACACTCTGTACCTCTCTGGTCAAATTTAAATAATTAAATAAAGGTAAATAAAGTAATTATTTTAAAGCAGAATTATTAAACTATAATATGCTGTTAATCAAGCAACATTGTGCCAGCTGACTACATGGCAGTGTACTGCTTCACATGTCTATCACGCGAAACAGCTGTTTGTATCTCGGAATGTCCTGTGTTTACTAGATGATAAACAAATGCCAAAGTAGGGTATTAGGAGTGCTACCAAGTCTGTCCTTCGCCTGTTTTTCTAACTGTGTGTAATACTATGCCTCAAGGATGCCTTACACTGTCCTGCCTGTGCTCACATTCTTTCTTCAACCTGGAAGCCCTTTCCTTCCTCATTTGCAGTTTCTTCTTACAGAAATCTTTCTCAGCCACTAATACCAAATAAATACTGTTTTAAGGACACAATCTGCGGTCTTCCTCCTCCCCATATCCTGATTTGGTTTTGGCTCTACTTTTTTATTTCATTCTATGAATATTTAATCAAAGCAAAGTTATGGGTTGCCTTCTTGACTGCTCTCTCTGATCAGCCTGCTTATTCAGTTGGAGTGAGAGATTCTGAGGCTTCCATCTAAACTCACCTATTTTAGGGAAGAAGACACTTAACCTAACCATAGCCAGGATGAGATGACACACAGTGTGAGGAATCGGGAGCTGCCTCCCTAGGCCTATTTACATGCAGGGCTGGCTGGCAGGCTCTATCGCCTAGTTATGGCTGCCTCTCGGAGAGAAATTCTGCCACCTCCTGGTTGGTGCTGAGAAAGCAGGATTAAAACTGCAATTGCTATGAAAATATTTTGGGGTAAGGAATATCCTGTATGGAACTATGGTGGTCGAGTCAACATGTAATTCTATGCATTTGTCTAAACCCATAAAAACATTAAAAACTAAATTTTACTGCATTTACTTTTTTTAAAGAATTATTTTATCGAACTTTATTTATTTACTTATTTAAATTTGATCAGAGAGGGACAGAGTAAGCGAGAGAGAGAAAATGAGGAAACTAGCTGCCAAGTCCAGGACTTGAACCGTGGTCAGCTATGTGGGAGTCCAGTGCCCTTAATCACCATGCCACCTGCCAGCCCCCAATTTTACTGCATTTAAATTGTGTGTGTGTTTTAAATCAACTAGGATATGGTAGGAGGGCAGAGAAACAGAATGTACACTGTGACAAATGCATCTAACTGGTATTACAAATGAATCACAACCACATTGAAGGAGATGGGGAAGAAAGAAGCTGTCCTTGGAAAACAGTGTATTGACTGTATACTATAAGCCTAAAAGACAGACAAAAAGAATTGTATATAAACAAAGCACTCTGTTTTGTAAGATTTTGTTTCTCTCAAGGTTATGTTAGGAATTCTCTTACTACTTGTATACTAGGGTTGAACAAGAAAGTAAATATATTGTAGGTAATAAAAGTCAGGTTTGTTACATCAGAAA